TGTATATTTAATTGTTTTTGGGGTAGCTAGTTCCTAGGAGTATTAGGTGAGAGACGCACTGCACCTAAACGTTAAGTTGGAGAGGTCTCGTCTAATGAAGTCAACGCTCCGTCCCCCTCGTGCTCTAATCCAAAGTCCCGAAACCTTTCAGATCGAGCTATGAAACCGTTTTCAGTGTCTAGAAGATTGCAATGTAGTAAACGATATGAATGACGAGCTCGTGGAAACTGTCTATGCGGTCGGAGCTAAGTTTTGTAAGACCCGCCGCAGAAGAACACAAAAACTTTCCGATCACACTCTTAATCTCATGGCTGTTAGATAGGATATGAAGCTGCAGTCTTCAGTAGATTTGTTAGCATACAGGCAACTGAACAGACAGATCTCCAAATGCATGCGGCGGGACTTACGCAACTTTAATACTGCTTGTATTGAAGAAGCAATCGAGCGGAACCAGGGCTCCAAAGTCTTTGCTAGAGATCTGTCTGCCAAAAAGGGCCAACTGTCGAAGCTGAAGACCGAGTGTGGCTGCATCGTTTCCGGGACACCTGAGATTTTGAGTGAGATTATGAGGTTCTATGGGCAGCTGTAGACATCATCGTTGGAGCCACACGCAAGTGTGAGTAACGATCCAAGAGCGAGTCTTATCCGACACTATTCCGAAGATATCCTGGACGGCAGTCTGAGCGAGATTAGAATGGCTCTCCAGCATCTTAAAAACGGCAAAGCCCCAGGCGAGGATGAAATTACAGCGGAGCTTCTGAAAGCGGGTGGAAAACCGGTTCTTGAAGTACTTCAGAAGCTCTTTAATTCCGTCCTCCATGGTGGCATTACACCGGAGGCGTGGAGCAGAAGTGCAGTGATCTTGTTCTTCAAAAAAGGTGACTACGCTCTCTTGAAGAACTACAGACCGATTTCCCTTCTGAGCCGCGACTACGTGCTATTTTTGAAAGTCATTACGAATCGTCTCGCGCGCAGACTTGACGACTTCCAGCCTCCCGAACAAGCCGATTTCCGAAAAGGCACGATAGACCACATACATACCCTTTGCAAATTGTACAGAAGTCCGAGGAGTACAATTTTGCCACTATGTCTGGCATATGTGGACTATGAGAAAGCCTTTGATTCCGTCGAAATTTGGGCGGTGCTGCCCTTCAGCGGTGCCAAGTTGACTGTCGGTATATCGAAGTGCTGAAGTGCTTGTACAGTAGGGCTACGATGGCTATCCAAGTACAGAACCAGAGTACGAAACCTATCCAATTGCAGAGAGGTGTAAGACAGGGTGACATTATATCCCCGAAACTCTTCATCGCTGCATTGAAAGCCATTTTCAAGCTTCTGGAATGGAAAAGATACGGTATTAACATCAATGGTGAGTACATCACTCACTTTCGATTTGCCGACGATATAGTCCTTATGGCAGAATCGCTGGAGGACCTAAGCACTATACTCAATGACCTCAATAGTGTCTTCCAACGGATAGGTCTTAAGATGAACATGGACAAAACAAAGATCATGTTTAATGTCCATGTCACACCTATGCCGGTAGTTGTTGGGAGTATGTTTACCTGGAACAAATAGTCCAACTAGGTAAGTCCAACTTCGACCGAGAGGTCAATCGACGGATTCAACTCGGCTGGGCAGCTTTCGGGAAGCTACGACACATCTTCTCGTCAGATATACCTCAAAACTTGAAAACGAAACTGTACAACCAGTGTGTGTTGCCAGTGATGACCTATGGAACTGAGACGTGGTCCTTCACTGCTGGCCGGATGAGGAAGCTCAATGTCGCTCAGCGAGCTATGGAGAGGACTATGCTCGGAGTTTCTCTGCGTGATAAACTTACCAGAACCAGAGTGACCGACATAGCCCAACGGATTAGTAAGCTGAAGTGGCAATGGGCCGGCCATATAGCTCGAAGAACCGACAACCGATGGGGAAAAAATTTTCTCGAGTGGCGGCCTCGTACCGGCGGACGAACTGTAGGACGTCCCCCCACTAGATGGAGTGACGACCTGGTAAGATATGCAGGAAGTCGATGGATGCAGGTGGCTCAGGACCGTGCTTTATGGCATACTTTGGGGGAGGCCTATGTTCAGCAGGGGACTTGTGAAGGGTTGTAATGATGATGAATAACGAATAATCAATAATATATAATAATTTTAATTCAAAGCAAAAACGCTTGTTTTGTTCCTTTCATAAAATCTTTACTCTTCATTGGGGCCCCCCAACAAATTTTGATACAGGGCCCATCTAAGGCACGCTACGCCACTGACTTGATTATCGGCGTACAAAAGGCATTTGACGGTTGACTCACCCATTCTCAACCCACATTCTTCAACTTTCAAAGTTTGCAAACAACTGTCCATAAATAGGTTAAACAGCCACGGGGAAGCCACACATCCCTGTCTGACACCTTTATGAATGCCAAACCAGTCCGAGTAGTCCCCGTTGATCCTGACACAAGCACTAGAGTTCCTATAAAGAGACCTTAATGCCTGTATCAAGCCAGCGCTCAACCCAAATGAGTTCAGTATTTGCCATAACACATTCCTGTCCACTCTGTCATAAGCCTTTTCCAAGTCCATGAACGCACAAAAAACTTTCTGGTTTTTAGCCAAAAACTTCTCCGCTATCATGCGCATGGAAAAGACTTGATCCGTACACCCCATCCCCTTTCTAAATCCAGCTTGCACATCCCAAATTTTTCCATCAGTTTCTTCCATAACTCTTTCAATTAACACCTTAGCATACAGTTTACCCACAATGCTAAGCAAGCTGATACCACGGTAGTTTTTACAGTCCTGCTGCGACCCCTTTCCCTTATATATTGGGACTATAACGGCTTCGCACCAGTCTTCCGGTACCCGCTTCAGTTCCCAACATAAATTAAACAAGGTGTACAGCAGGCCTGCAACCACACCCTCACCAGCCCTTAGCATTTCGAGTGATACTCTATCATATCCGGCTGCCTTACCTGCTTTCATGCTTTTCATTGCTTTCATTATTTCATCTACACTTATCTCCTTACCTCTCTCCACTTCTTCCGGAATTTCTATTTCACTTATTACAGACGACTCTTCACTCTTAAACACGCTTTCAAAGTATTCCTTCCATCTCTTTAAATTCGAAACTTCATCATTCAACATGCAGCCATTCTCGTCTCGTATAGCATTCATTCTAGGCTGTTTTGAATTTCCCCTGGCAGTTCTTACGAGCTTCCAGAACATTTTAATATTTTCCTGGAAGTTATCAGATATCCTTCTATCATTTTTATCTATCCTTTCTTGCTTTTTCCTTTCAACAACTTCTTTTACTCTCTTATTTATACGTCTAAAGTCTGCCTTTTTTCTATCAATCTCATCATTCATACCGCCAGAATTACCAGCTTTAGTTGCTAGTAAATCTAGCCATGCTCTCTTCTTTGCTTCAACTTCCATCCGTACCTCATCATCCCACCACAACGTATTACTTTTCCTTTCATTCGTTCTCTTACTTATACCACATACTTCGGTGGCTGCATCCACCAAAACTTTCTTAATATTATTCCATACATTCTTCAATTCTAAATCTTTCATACATAATTCATTCAACCCACTTATATTTTCCCTCAGTCTGCATTTATATTTCTCTTTCACACCTTCATCTTGTAACCTCTCTATTCTTATACGCTGTAAAGCAGTGGTAGACACAGATGTCCGATGCCGCCAACGTCTGAATAGACCATTAATTCGGCATAAGACCAAGTAATGATCCGTCCCTACGTTGGACCCCCGGTAAACCCTTGTATCTACCACTGCGCTCCTCATTCTTTCATCCACAATTATAAAATCTATCATGCTTCTATCATCCCCTCTTTCCCATGTATACATGTGAATCCTCTTATGGCGAAAGAAAGTGTTCGCCACAAAAAGATTCTTTTCCACACATACGGTGAGGAGGTCTTCACCATTCTCATTTATTCTTTCATCGCCAAACGTTCCTAATATCCTTTCATAACCAGACCTCTTCACCCCAACCCTTCCATTAAAATCTCCTAACATAATAATATTTTCATTTTCCTTACATTTCATCAACACCAGCCTTACCATGTCCCAAAACTGCTCTCGGATATAAGTGGGCTTAGACATATCTGGGGCGTACACCCCTAGCACAAACAACTTCTTTAAGCCCACTTTCATTCGTATCCATAGCAGCCTTGGGCTAACACATTCATACTCTTTCACACATTGACCCATTCTTTCTGAAAGGATGACACCGACTCCCTGGCATGCCCTCTCGGTCTCGCCTACTCCAGACCAGTAAGCGGTATACATGCCATGTGCAGTGACATCTCTTCCCTTTCGTTTCGTCTCGTTCACACATAACACATCTATTCCTCTATCATTCATCATTTCGCATACTTCATCCATCTTATCATTCATTGCTCCACATACATTCAGCGTAGCCAGACGGGCCTCCGCAATCCACTTTTCGCCCCCCCGGGAGACAGGACGTGACGGGTGGCGAACCTCGTCGCCGGTTTTTCTCCCGGAGATTCTTCGCACCCCTGCCCCATTAAAGGGGCGCCGGGAACTCGGGGCCATTTCTTTTTCTTCTTGGCTCATGGTGCGAGAAAAATATAATTTACAAAACTTTATTATTTATCTACGAACATATTACCTATATCATTATATAAATATGGTTTAAATTTGTAACACGTTGGTAAATAATGAACACCATTAAATTTTAAAATGTCATACAATTTTATATTAAAAATTTTGTTAATTTTGTATCAACTACATCTACCAAAATATTGGCTACGTTTATAAAACGTTTAATGAAGGCATTTACATAAACATTAAAAACGCAACTTTTCATTGACTGATGATGACAAATAAGTGATAATAGAATCAACTTAGTTCCAACTAGCGACATCTAGCGTCCGATTATAAACCCTCATGCCGCCATCTATTAACTAAAATCAGTGTAATCAATGTAGATGGCGCACTGAAGCCAAATGACTAATGATAGTTGTGCATGGCGTTAGCGTAGAGGCCATGCTTGGGTCGCGGGGTCCTGGAGGAGTGGTGCGAGTGGTGCGAGGGGTGCGAGTAGTGCGAGTAGGCGTCGAGGTCGGGCGGCGGGCGCACGAGCAGCACGGGCTGCAGCGCCAGCGACTTGCGCGACCCCGCCACCGACTGCCCGTCCGTCACGTACGCGTTGTTCACCTCGCCTTTGTATAAAGAGGGTGGTGGGTACGCAGTATCCGGCTGCAGCTTAACGTGTCGCGTCGCCAGGATGAACGCGAGAACGGCCAGCACGATGCCGTCCAGGCACCCGATCACCGCCAGCAGATATGCCCAGCGAACGTGACACCGCCCTATGTTGTACTGGTCAGCAGTGGGGCCGCAGGTCTCCTGCACCGCGAGCTCGTTCCATCCAGCGGGGTACACCGCCGCGCCCGCCACCATACACAAAGCTGATAACAGCTGCAGCCATCCACAGATGTGAAACACCGTTGTAGATTGGCAAAAGAAGAACAACAGAATCGCGCATATTGTAAACAGCGCTAAAGCGACAGCTGAACCCACTAACACTGTCGCAATCCGGAATACAAAGCCGTTAATTGAGAAAAAGTCATCTAGTTTTCCTTTACAATCTTCCACTGATTCGTCTGCTCTGCATATTTGCCATAAGCCAAACTTTCTTGGATATTCAGTCTCCAAATCACCAATCCACTCTGGCGTCACGAAGGCCACAACGCTTATAATGGCATAGCAAATCGTTTAAACTTATATTATTATAATATACTATTTCCATTCCAATTTTCTACGAATGTAGAAAATACATTTTACATTCGTAAAAAATTAAAATGGAAATAGTAATAAATGAATATAATAGGTACATATTGGAATTTATAAAAATTTAATAACGCAAAGAACCCTAATAAATGGCAATTATGTCATTTGAGCAATACTAAAGAAATAAACATTAAATAATATAGAATTAGGTTATATTATAATAAGCTAAATATATTATATTACAAAACAATAAATTCACTTTTGAAAGATGCATTTTTTATAATTGGGAGAATTGTTTATTTTATTATTTTAATCGACATATATATATATATATATATATATATATATATATATATATATATATATATATATATAACTTGTATATACCGCTGTGTTATTTAATATGATAACCTAATCGCCACCCAGTATATCTATATATATATATATATATATATATATATATATATATATATATACACTATAGTTATATTATTTAGGGTTGTCAGGAAGATGCTGTTGTCCATTTCACGGGATGTCATGGGGTAGGGGATTCTCTTACACCACCACTACACGGCAATATCTAACAAAATATCTACCTTGAAACCCTTTAAGTAAACCTCAGTAAATACCTTTGAAAGATGATAGGGGAGCGGCGCATCGCAATGCCGACAGTCTTCTCAACCCACAGCCTCACCAGCATGATAGAGTTGTTGATGATTTTTATTTAATGTTGCCGTTAGATTGCGGAGATAAAGTAGGTAGCTTTATTTTATAGGATAGGGTGACAAACGAGCACACAGTCCACCTGATAGTAAGTGGTTGCTGTGGCCCATAGACATCTACATTTATCCTCGTTTGCGAATCAAAATGCAGATGCGTTGTCACCCGTGAGGACTAAGATGGAATGCCCCTTTTCCAGTAAAAAGGGTCTCCGGTTCTCTACACTCACCATACGAAACACAGCAGTGTTAGGCTGCTATTTTACGCTGGTATTCTTTGAGAGCGTGGTCCTTCCCCGGTCGAGCCGACCCATTCGTGCTACAACTATACTACTAATATAGCTGCAGCATGGCTCTACCACGTCTCAAATATTTTAAGCTATAATATTTTTAAGTAAACCTCAGTACTGATTTAGGATACTATGTGCCCCTTAGAAGAAATCAATGCTGAGATCGCGCGTTCCACCTCCCAATAATGGATATTACAAAGTGACAATGGAAGATACACTGTCATAATTGATGATGATTGCTTTTACTTTCATAGATTTGGTCGATAAGATAATATGCTGATAAAATAAAAATACTGACGAAAATTGCAAACTTTCTCAAAAGTCGACATAAGTACAACAGAGACCATTTTTTGTACACTACTTTTTATTATAAACACCCAGGTGTGTAACAGTATACACAATTTTAACTTCGCTTAAGACGATCAACAAAGGAGACCACACATCACAATGCGACCCGTTTACCGCCAAAACTGGCTAACCATTGTGATTGTCAAAACAAGATCGGTTACAATAAATCTTATTAAAAGTTCGGCCACACTCGCGCCATTCATAACCATCTTTAATCGGAGGCCAAAGAATACTTGTTTACAGTACCACGTTCTAATATTGCAATCTCTTTTGTGGTTTACGCATCTGTCCTACCTGAATAGATGATCCACTACTAATGCTCAAATACAAAAACTCTTCAAATTTTCCTATAATAGATACTATTGATGCAAAAAGGTTCTATTGTTTTCTTTTATCTACATAAATTTCATTTAGAACTTTCTTACGTTATATAGGTAAATATAAGGTCGGGGAAAAGTTTCTTCGTATTTTATATACAAATTCAAGAAAATTTTCTTCAAAGTTTTATTAAATTTAATTATAATACATATATGTGCCATTTTGTTCGATAACTTGTCGCCATCTTGTAGGTAGTGACATAATCCCATTGCTGTAGAAATCTTGGGATTTTTGAAATAAAAAATGGGACAAGTAGTTTTGACAGTCCTCTCTTGATATTATATGTAACTTAACACCACCCAAAGAATTCTGAAGAGACCGAAACAGATGAAAATCTGAGGGTACAAGGTCAGGACTATATAGTGGATGCATTAACACTTCGCAACCTCGCTCTCAATTTTTGCTGAGTGTCCAAAGACGTGTGTGGTCTGTTGCACAAATTCTCGGGAAGCCCATAGGAAGGGAGCTTCGAAAGAAGCGCTTTGTGCCAAACCTGATCGAAGGCCTTCGCTATGTCCAAACTAAAGACCAGGTTCTCCCTCTCTGCCTTTGCCGATTTATGAGTCAGGTAATCCAGAAGATCACCAGCTGAGCAACCCCGACGGAAATCTTACTGGCGGTCACTTTTCTGTTGGTGGTCATCAACCTTGATGAACTGGCAGTTCACAATGGTTTTCATTATTTTGGATAGGTCTGAGTGGTCGATTTACGGTTATTTTTTTGGGGTCTGGTGCATTAGCGCTTACTTCTTTGATTTCGGGACTACGCCTAGGGAGAAAGAGTTTTAGAAAAGACACGTTACGACTGGTGCCAACTAGGGAAAACACGTCTTCAGCACAATGGGAGGAACTCATCAGGCCCACTATACTTGACGTCCAGGGAGAGTAGTGCTATGCGCACCGAGCGCTGTGTAAACTGTATCGTACCGACCTGAAGGCGAAATTATACTTCTTTTTAACAGCGCTGGTGAAGCACTCCTATTATAGCGTGATGCAATTTTACAGGAGCGACCAAACCAGGCACAACAGATGATAGAATAAAGAGTTCCATTCCCTGAAGTACCACATCAGCGACAGAAGCACGTTAGGATCATCCGACGAGAAGTATAACCGCCCCTGTCCTCAAGGGAAGAATGCAAAAAAAGACCACATCCTGTTCCAATCGGCCGACCTATAGTGCCAAACATGGCGGCGATCTACAGAACGCAACTGCGATGGGAGTGTGAGTGGCCATAGTCCTGATCAAACAATGGTCCAATGAGTCAAGAGAGGCGTCGACGGAGACCTAGTATCCGTCCGGATGAGAGGTCAGCGAAGGTCCAACAGAGAAGGTGCACGATCCTCCACTTCTAGAATCCGCGTAGGTGAAGTAACCATTTGTGTCGGACTATATGCCATGGCTAAGCAATAAACACATCTTCCCGTATAATCGGTTAAACGAGAACCAAGCCATTCCGCGTGATAGGAACTGATAGGAGGAACTGTTGTAGCACGGAGTCTGCAGCGTTTTGGACGTGGTCGATGAGTTGGTCTATGTCGGCACTACCTATAGAGGCACCCGTTGATGCGAGGATGGTCGTCGCTGAACTTCAAGACTGCCGAGGTGTCGAGAACAGATGTCCTCTCTGACGTATACGCAAACTCCAGCCCGAGGCACAAAGGGGTTATATAATTTGAACCCAGAATAGGAGAGAATGTTGGACACCTGCGCCTCGGTTAGAAAGAGCAAGATCAGCTTCGCCGTCTTCAGATGGTACCTAGTGGACTTCGTTAACGTTCGAATGAAATTCCGTGATGTGGCAGAAATTCACGGATAGCGTCACAGGGGTCACCTTTGTCTTATTGCTCTACGTGCCACGAGCAGTATTAGTCTTGAGCGGAATTTTCCCCCTCCCCCTCTCCCCAGGATTCGCGAGGTAGCCTGAGCACCTAAGGAAGAGTAGAGTAGCTTGGACATGGATGCTCAGCCAGGGATTCTCCTATGCCAGGTGTGCTGGTACCCTCCTGGGATAGTTTCTTATTTAATTACACTACCATGTTAAGAGGGAGAGGGCTTAGGCTTTCGACCACCTGCACTTAACAGGCGAAGTAAGCTTCTACTTCACGCTGGTTATCTGTAAGGTCGTGGGTCTCCTCGGTTCGAGCCCGTCCACCCATTCATTACAGCTCCTCATTTCATGTCTTACCAGGTCGTCACTCCATCTAGTCTGGCCCACACGTGCGACAGCAAAAGCTGCCGTGTGGCTCTTCCACTGTTATGTTGTCTGCCTATATTATTAACTGTAATCTACTTCGTCATTGTTTATGCGTTACACATAACACTTAGTAGTAATTTAAAAGTTTATTATGCCCTGCAGTGGCCGACAAGGAGTTGATGATGAAGTATTTTTGCACCTTTAAAGTAATTAGGTTAGTTTAATTAGGGCCCCAATTTCATTTTTGTCCCGGGGCCCTTGGTTACATAGCTATGCCACTGCAATCTGCCACTTTGCCCTGCGTATATGGACTATGAGAAAGCCTTTGATTCCGTCGAAATTTGGGCGGTGCTACATTAACTTCAGCGGTGCCAAGATGACTATCGGTATATCGAAGTGCTAAAGTGTTTGTACAGTAGCGCTACGATGGCTATCCGAGTACGAAACCGATCCGCTGCAGAGAGGTGTAAGACAGGCTGACGTTATATCCCACGAAACTCTTCACCGCTGCATTGGAAGATGTTTTCAAACTACTGAACTGGAAAGGATACGGTATTAACCTCAATGGCGAGTACATCACTCAACTTCAATTTGCCGACGATATAGTCCTTATGGCAGGATCGCTGGAGGACCTAAGCACTATGCTCAATGACCTCAATAGTGTCTTCCAACGGATAGTTCTTAAGATGAACATTGATAAAACCAAAATCATGTTTAATGTCCATGTATAGTTGTTGGGAG